GAGCCTGAACCCAAGAATAAACAGCAAGTTGGGCTTTAAGATGCTCACTGTGTGAAAAGGTTTAGACAACTACAGCTTCATACTATCTCAGAGATGGCACTTTGAACTGAAAAAAATCAGTGCAGAGAGGTAAACACATGTGCCTTAATTTAGCAACCTAGCAAGGTGAAGTATCAGAAATTCATGTCTTTAAGAAAAGTGACTGAATACAGAGTCCTGCCTGAAAGATGAATCCCATCAAGTAATACTTCTGTTAGTTTTATCCACTCTGTTCTGATGAGAATTCATATTTTCAAACTGCTGAAATCCTAGTTCCAGAAAGATAAAAATCATCAAGTGTCTCTTTAGAAACCAAAATAAGATTCCCAAAATATCAATTGAAAAGTAGTCCTACAGCACTGCTTTCAGTCTTACACAAATGAGAAGCAGCAAATAAGTGAACTGAGTTCCTCCCAATGTTCTAACTGAACAAATATCATCTCTACTATGGCATCTCTTAGGCTTCATATTTAAGGAACCTAAACATTAGAGCCAGTTTAATTGCTTTTATTCTTAACCTGTTTCTTAAATATAAAAAAGGAAACTCCTTTAACCATTTATAGGGCAAGTTACTGTTTTTGATGCCTTACAAATGTAACCCCCCCCCCATCCCTTAGTGAGATCTAGAAGCACAAGATCTATATCCAGCCATTCAGCAAAGATACTGCTACATGGCTCTATATCTTATTTTAGCATTTGACCAATTATGAACCCTTGAATGATATATTACCTACTAGAAATTAAGTTGGAAAAAAAATGTTAAGAAAAAAAAGGTAAAAAGCTAATTGAAAAGTAAAGTTTAAAGTTAATAAGCCTAGTCAGCAATTATATTTAGGTTTATAAACTAAAAAAATGTAAGTGCCAGTATCAGTATTAGCACCTGTAAGGTTATGTTGTGCCAAAAAAAGAAGTGTTTCTTTCACTCTCAGTGTTTTTCACGAATATATTATATAAGTAGTTTATTTTTCTTAATATATCAGGGCAAGTTGGAGTTTCCTGTTATTACATTGACAATTTTTGCCATCAAAATATTGATATTTTTTAATGTTACAAAGGTAATAAGTTCTTGCTATGGATTCCAATATCACTATTGGCTTGAAATTTTGATTTTCTAAGCATTTCCCCAAGTGTACTATAAAGGGTAAAGTAGTGGGCAAAGATACTTCCTACTGTTTACTCAATAAAATTAAAATATTCATCTGAAAATGTTACATAATAATAATAAAGTTAAATCACAATGATTTTCCTTAAGACTTTTTCTACTTGGAAGGTGAATATACATTTTTATACCATCTTCAAATAATTATTTGTCAAAATCTTTTCCTAGCCTATAATCAATTAAAGCATATGAGCTGCTGTAGCTCAGAGATACCTCTGAAATAACTGCAGCAGTTTAACCTTTACTAGTGTTTTCTTTTTGTTTTAACCACTTTCTGAAAGGAAGGAAACATGTCAACACTTATCTATCATTTTTTTCACAGCTATGTCTGGAATAACAGTCCTATGACCCTACATTTTAAAGAACTGAAACATAATCAACACCCTCGCATTTAACAGTTTTTTCATCACTTAGTGATAAAAATAAACCTTCTCAACATTTTTTAATTTAAACAAGATTTTCCTTTTTTAAATGTAAGGAATAAAACTTTCAAATCTCTTCCCACCAGATTTTTTTTCTCTGCAATCTAAGGCTGAAAGTTTGAAAACTTACATAGACATTAATAAAGGCCCCTCTCTTAATTTTTGGTTAATCTATTTTACTATATCTAATTCCATATCCATCTTTAAAGATAACAAAATGACAAGGTTTAATTGCTCTAAAAAAAAACATTGAATGGGTTATTTGATTCTGAATAAGAGGAGTGTTGGCCTAGTGAAGAGAGTGGCAGCCAAGTGGCTTCCCCACTTCCACTGTGGATTTCTGAGCTGGACCCTTTACCCCACATTGCTCCCTGGGCGCCCCACGATGGCAGCCCACTGCTCCCAAAGGGGATTGGTTAAATGCAGAGGTACATTTCTCCAATGTGAGATCAATAAAGTTCATTTGTTATTAATAAGATAATTTTTGTCTTCAAACTCCTGCTAGAATGTACATTATCTTATCATGCTTAATGCTATCATTTGCTTTAACTAACTGCACAGTTTGGTAGGATAATAAATACACTATATATGTATTAATATATGAAGTGTTCTGTTTACAGAGCTGTAAATGAATAATAATTTCAGTCGTCTTCTTGTGAAGTGAATGTGCAACTCTGCAATGACCTTTGTGAGGTTGCAAGCTCTCCCTGTTTATTTGGAGTTGCATCACAAATATTGTGTGGTTATATTACAGTATTTTCATGCACCGTGGTTGGAGGCAGATATGTCATGTTTTTATTCCCATGACAGAGTTCTTGCCTAATAAGGTTGTGGTTTGATCAGTTTTTTTAGTAAGAGTTTTATAGGAAATAAAAGTATAAATATTTGTTCAGTCATGTGTTACACTGCTTTCATTGTTTCCCCTTTTTTGTTGAAGCATGAGACAAACGTCTGTTTTTTGCATGCATGGGATCAGTTGTGTGACCCGTTGTCTATCGCAAGAAACACATCTGTCTTAACATCTTCATGGCAACCACTGTGAGCTGAAATAGCTCCTTTAGATTTTACTCTTAAATGGCAAAAAATTGATCTTAGATAATTCTCTATTACTAGAACATCTAGTGCATAACCATGTTGTTATTGACTTGTACTGATGGTTTCCTGTCGTGAGAGAGAGAAGCTGTGATCAGGAAAGTAGCAAATGTGTTTGTGGTCTCACCTGAAATCAGCAGGTAGGCTCTGTCAGTCTGGGCCCAACCTCAGGGACCACAAAAACACCCCAGGGTTTGTTTTTTTTACGAATAACGTTTGCTTTTCTCTCTTCTGTGTGCCACCTGCCTCAATCTTGTGTGATTAGAAACTAGATTTAAGGGCAGACTAAAATGACAATGAAGCTGAACAACCCAGACAGACTTTTGTATTTTTTATGTGTTAATGGTTTCACTTTATAGGAAGTAAAATGGAAATAAAAGACTGTAGCTTTGAATTTGAATTTAAAGGTATAGTGGAGGATGTTCTTTTTCCGGGTGGATCATCAAAATAAGTGGTCCTCCTAATTGTCAATCATTCTGGTGATATGTTTACGTAAGGCTGTACTACATGCTCGTCCACAGTTAGCTATCTTTTTCTGTGCATGCACACTTTCAGGGTATATCTGTGGTGAGCTACACTTTCAGCAGGTATATATCCCAGAATGCTTTGCATGGAGAGGTACCCTTGCAAAGCCTTATAGGATTTGCTGTCACACCGGCTTGCTGTTGCCATAGGCGACTAAGATGGAGCAGGCACCACACGGTGAAGGCAGAGTTATGTGACCAACGGGGAGCAAAAAATAGTCATCATCTGTCAGAACGGTATGTTAATTGAGTTCACCCTAAAGTCCGCTATATAGTCCCCGCTCTATATATTGATTGAGGGATTTAAGGGTTAGGGCGGATGTTTGCAAACAGTAAGCTTGTGTGAGCTATGGAAAGAGCCACTTTTTAACAGAGGGTGCACAAGGAGAAATGGGCTCGTGCATGCTCTTGAACCCGTTTAATAGGTGTTCCCTCATGGGAGCGGGTACAGGGTTGTGCATGTGTATTTTTTTTTAAGTGGAGAGGGCAGGTCTTTTAAAACATTCAAGAAAAAATCCTCCACTATACCTTTAACTTCACCTAAATAATAGAATGTTACTAAAAGGATCTAAGTGCAATTTTTGAAATTGAGCAGGCAATCTGGCCTGTGGGAAACCTCTACTACCCAATGGCAAATTTGGTGTGAGTTACATCCTAACATGTCTCCTTTTTTCTGTTTCTTATTTGCATGTGCAGTGGAGCGAAGAAGGCATCATAAATCTTGTGCACAAAGTATGCACTATGGGAAAATTTTATAGTGTGGTTGGAGCCTGATGTTGAAGTTGAAACTATTTTAAAATGTTCTGATTTGGACATAGATTAAAAAGTGTAAAATCAAACCTGCCAGGACATGAGAGTCAACTTAAAAAAAAAGGGCTGTGGAGGGGAGCAGTGTGCAGAGAGCCAAAGCTCAAATTAAATAATCTGTCCACATGACAGCTCTCAGTCATATACGATTCAAATCAGAACTCTGAGTGGGGAAAATGCAACTCTGATAGCCATTCAAAGTCCTGTTTGCAGTTTTAAAGATTTATGTTCACATATCGTCTATATGCAATCTGACTGATAGAGGAGTTCACAAAAGTGTCAGGATCTAGATGTACAAAGATCATCTGCAAATACTTCTTGCATCTGCAATTACAGCAAAAGCTGCTTCTGCAAAGTACTGACTCATGGGTGAAAACTTTCACAAGGTATTGCACGTTTCATGTCAACCTTATATGTGAGGTCAGACAATGAGTTTCTGCTCTGCAGTATCAGACCCATGCACCCAAACATTTGGTGCGCCACCTTTACTAGTTTGAGACGGGTGAAACTGAAATACCAGCACATCCGAGGGAACTTGCCACCAAACATGGAAACATTTTACTCTCGTCTGTCTATCGTCTGAGGTGCAGCCGTTATAAGGTCAATATGGGAAATTTCTTTTATCAGGCAAACAGCGAAACTGCCAAGTCATAACCAAACTCGCTTAGACAATTAAAAAGCGTCAGCAAATAGTATGGCACAAACTGGCAACGCGAAGGGTGGTTGTCTAGTCTAGTCAGATCGAAAACATTGTGGATTGAAGCAGCCACATGGAAGTCTGTTTTACCACCAGCAGAGAGTACGTTACACCAGTGAAAACTGGCAAACACATTCTGAAAAATATAATGCTGAGCTCATCACTATGCATTTGTTCAATGGGTCTTTCCGTTTCCTGTTCTGCTCTTCAGTTTACATGTGTATTTAAAAAGAACCAACTGCTTTCAATTTCTTTGGATGTTTAATGTTTAATGAGTCAAAAAACTATTTTTAATAGAAAAAATACAAATGCACACAGCAAATACATAATGGAAAGATAAAACACACACAATATTTACATGTCAATACAGTTTGTACAGGTATTCCAATGAAACAAATATGCATGTAACTGTCAGAGTTTGAATAAAGATTGGTGGTTTTCCAGAGTTGTAAATGATATTGTTTATCTGCTTGTGGTTTTTAATGCACCAGGAATACAATTTAGAATTCGGATAATACTAGGCTCAGGTCTCAGGTGTAGTATTTTGAAAAACGGGCATCTATATGGAAAGGGCAGGGGTAGTTTCTGTGTCTGACATGACAGAGGGACGTTTGGGAACTGCCTGGACTTTGCTGAACCCTCCTTTGCCCACACCTCCGAAGCAAGTCTTAGCCATCCTCATAAGGTCTTCCCTGAACCGAACTCCAATGAAGACATACAAGAAGGGGTTGAGGCAAGCGTGAGTAAAGGCGAGACTCTTAGCAACCTGTCCGGCTACATCAACTTGAATCACAGTGGTACAGTCTGTAATCGTGGTATTGGCTGCTTGTGTGGCTTCCACAATCAGCAGGGTGTTGTGAGGCAGCTGGGAGAGGACAAAGACAAACACCACAACGAAGATGACACGCAGGGCCTTGTGTTTTTCGAAGCTTTTTGCTTGCAGGAGGGTACGGATTATGACTGAGTAGCAGAAGAACATGATCAGCAGAGGAAGACAGAAGCCCATACAAATCTGCAAGGAAAGCACCATGATCTTTGTCCGGTTGAAGACATTGTTCCAGTAGACCATAGCGCAAAAGGGTTGTTCCTCTGGGCCAAATTTCACCTCAGCAAAGATAAACTCAGGCAGGGCCAGGAGAGTGGAGACAAACCAGACACAGAGGCAAACAAGTTTGCTGTAAAACAATCTCTTCTTCTTGAAATTCTGAGCTTTGGTTACTTGCACTATGGCAATGTAGCGGTCCACGCTGATGCAGGTGAGGAGGAGCATGCTGCTGAAGAAGTTGATCTTGTAGAGAGCGGACACTATCTTGCAAAGAATGCTACCAAAGTTCCATCCCTTGATGGCCTCGACCGCCCAGAAGGGCAGCGTGCACAGGAAGAGGAGGTCTGCCACAGCCAGGTTCAGCAGATACACATCGGTCATTGTTTTCAGGCGGTTGCGCACGGTTAGGTAAATCCAAACCACCAGCAGGTTACCAACAGACCCAAGGACGAAGATGATCCAGAAGAGAGGTGGCTCATACTGGCCACGGAATTGCCTGACCCAGTCTCTTTCACACATGCCTGGGTCTATGGTCTCCGAGGGATAATCTTCATCTGTAGGCTGCAACAGAAACAAATCTTCTTAGATGTTTTAAACAAACATTTTCAATTAACAATTAAATACAATCAGTACAACAAAAACTACGTTTCCCACAATATTGCAGCTTTGTATGATGCAAATTATTCTGCTTTCTTCTAGTGAACAAACTCATCAACAGAAGAAGGTTTCACAATGTAACCCACATCTGGTGGGAATGTAGTGAAGCTACATCAAACGCTGTCTGTGACGTACATGCTAACCGAGAGTTCGGTGTCAGGTGCAGGTGTTGTGTCTGTGCAGGAAAAACCACACAACTGCACTGTTTCCTGCTGCTATCCAAGCCTGAGGGGGTGAATGATCCTGAGGGGCTCAAAAAGAGGGGCCCGCTGCAGAACTCAGTACCCTGGCAACACCACATTTAGATGTAGGGCACAGATAAAAAAAAAAAAATAGAAGAGGAAGAAAAGTTGGGGGGCTTAGGTTTTGACAAACAATGGCAAATTTGATGCCAACATGTTATGACACTGCCTGTGGCATTTAACTACACTAAAGATATCTGCTGTCAAACACGTGTTTTCTTTAAAAAGGAACATGTTTTTTTTTTTAAACAAATGAAGGTAGTGTTATTTATTATATAGCAATTTGATGAAATTCTACAATGCCACTCCCGTTGTTGTGCTACAGGCTGTTCAGTCCGCTCAGACACACAGCAAAACACCACAGAGAAGAGCTGTCAAGGTTTTCCTTTTAAAATGATTCAAGTTTGTATTATCCAAAAGTGGTACTTACAGTTGTCTCAAAAGTTGAGACAGAAAAAGTAGTTGTCTCTTCCATTTGACCTTAAAAGACAGAAAAAATAAAGGGAGTTAATTAACAGCAAAAAAAAAAAACACTTTTTAGCATCACACAAATGAAACTTAAACTTCTATTCTAAAGAGTCATAATATGATATTTACTTAATTTGTTGAAATGCTGGAAAGAGGAACCAGTTGACAGTAGTACGTCCTTGTCACAGTCAAACAGCTGTCAACCTACTCATCTTCACTTGCTTATATGGTTTCCCTTTGACCACAAAATCACGTGTTAACGTTTACCACCACATCTCTCTCTCTCTTACCGTGCAGAGAAAAACATCCTAACCCTGTTATTGCTCAAATAATAACTCACGCTTTATAAAAAAAAAAAAACATTTTTTTTTTCAAATAGACACATTTCACCAAATTTGTTTTTTTGTTTTTTTCAAACTTTCTCCCAACTTTGCACCTAAGATTTTGTATACATAACCTAAGGAATTACAGCCATTGGAAAGTTAGGAACAGCAGAGGTGATTTTATTAAATATTTTCTTGGTTCTGCAACATTGTGCTTACAAAGACTTTACAATCAAGATGTCTGTCTCCTAAACTGAAAACACTGAGGTGTAAATGATGCTGAAAATAGTAGTAGGTAGTAAGTTAACTGTTTAGGTGGCCTTGGTTGGTTTGTACAGTTTAAACATTACCTTGAAAAATTGGTAAGTATCTGCAATGAATAATGACATGATCATAACATTACATTGTTTAATAAGTCTTTATTTTGGTTTAAAGATTAAAGGTAAAATATGACAACAATGAGGCTAAACTGAAGGACCTAAAGCCCGTGTCCCACAATGACGTTTTAGCCAGCGTATGCATGTCCTATGAAAAATCTGGAAAAAAACACCAATACATTGAATAAGTTATGGGTAAGTTTAGTATAAGTACAAGTATAAGCACGCTGAAGCCCACAGGCACACATACACATACGGCAAGTACATCTAGAAATGTTCTTGATGTATGCCAGCGTAAGCTCATAAGTGGGCCATAAGTTACAGGTGAGTTATCTGATCGTTGACATGCGTTAAGTGTAAGTTACACATAAGTCATGGTGTATAGCTTTTCCAAAACTTATGAGTAACCTGTTCAAAACTTATGCATAACTTATCTCCAACGAATATTAACGTATTTGACATCTTCCAGAGGACAGCTGAACGTGTTTCTAACTTAAAGCTACTGTATAATGGCGTATTGGCAGGGTTTTGGTATGAAAGGGGGTTCACTGGAGGAAACCGTCAATACTCCTCCAGACTTCAGACATTCCACAAGAGATAGAGGATCCAGCAAGGCTGACATGGGAATACATACAAGAACATACTAGCTGTCCTCCAACGTCAGCATGATCTCATCAATTTGACTCCAGTTATAGGGTGAGCGAGAAGGTGAATGGGATGGATCCTCCCTGGGTTCACGCCCACAATCAACAAATTTCCTAGCAGACATGGCCCTGAATCTGTTTCGACTGCAAAACTTCTTTCTTTATATATATTTTTTATTTATTCTTTTTGGCGGGCGGTAAACAGCAGCTGGGTTAATACCGCAATCAAAGAAATCTTTTTATGCAGGCCGGGCGCCTCTGGGTGCATCGCTGCTCCTTTCAGTTTGGTAAATGATCTGTACTTATATAGTGCTTTTTTAAAGTCAGAGGACTTGACCAAAGTGCTTTACATTACTTTCACCTATTCACACTCATACACTGTTGGTGGCAAGCTACATTGTAGCCACAGCTGCCCTGAGGCACATTGACGGAAGCGATGGTGCTGCACACATTACCACTGGGCCTCTGAACAACAGAGGAAGGCAAAGCGGTTGAAGTGTCTTGCTGAACAACGACAAAGAAATACGAAGCTTCGGTTTGAACCGATGAGCCTTTGGATGCAGGGCAAACTCCTGCATCCGACATCACTTTCGAGGTTTAAAAGTAGTGAGCATAAGATGGCTATCTTAGCAAAAGATAGGTATTCCAGGGAGTCAGTCCCTGGAATACCTATCTTAAAAAGTGGAACATAATGGATTTATGGTCGGAGCCCTAGAGGTTATATCATTTAGTTTAGTAAACCAAAACAGTGTAGAAAATTGTGGAAAGTTATGAATTATTATTCAGTGCTAGAAGGATGCTCATCTTCTAGTATTGAGAGGAGATAGCAATAGTTCTGGGCTATTGTTAGATTGCATCAGTGATCCAGAGGGCTTGTTGAAGGAAGAAAGCTAGTTTCCTTGGGAAGATGTTTTATATTAACAGAAACTATGCTTTGAAATTAAATTCAGCAGATAGCGTAATGACACTGTCTCAGAAAGAACTGCCTAAAATAGCACATGAGGTATACCTTTATGGCCAGTGTTTGTTCCACATTGGTCACCAAAAGCAACTCTGGTTCATCAGTGTTCCTTCCTGTGACAACTTTAGAAAAAAACTTTACTCTAATGATAAAGAGCCAATCAGTGCTACTTATTTCACTCATCTCCTTTCATAATGTTATAGCTGGTATTTTATTGAAGCTGCCACTTGATGAAGTCATCATGTTGGAAGTCCTGGAAATGCAAACCTGCTTGAGTAAAGAGAAGTGAAAATTTTTATTTGATAATGCCTGAAACAAAGGAACATTGAATACATCATTTGGTTAACCACATTAAAAAATGAAAACGATAGCAAAGAAAGTCCCTATCTTACCATCGTGTAAAAAAAAAAAAACATTCTTATTCTTTAGAAAACAACAACGTAACTAAATATAAAGAGAAAAGTGTTTAAATCCATTTTCTGAATCTGGTGTCTTATGAGCAGAAACTTTGTAATCTGTAAGGGTGAGCAGGTTTATGTTCTCACAGTTTCACTTCCCGAACCTCATAGGCTTTGCGTGTCTGAAACGCCGTATGCATCAGGGTTAGAGTGTGGGACATCACCTCTTTAGATTTCTACCAATTTCTGGTTGCGTTTCTCAGTTTTGATCAGAGAAAGGCAAAGGGAAACGGCTTCATGATGATCAGATCAGTGTTTACCTTCTGGGAAAAGACTTCAACGCTGACACATTTTTATCACTGCTTTCTATCTTATCTACTCATTTCAGACTAAATGCTTCTGGTTTAAAAGTGCATAGTAATAGAGAATAACATACTCCAGAAAGATTTTGTAGGTGTAAAATGTATAAAGTAAATTAGTGTGCTTTAAGAGATTAGAGGTTTTTCTGCTTAAATTGGTAAAATTAACTTCTTTATGTCCCATTAATGTGGGCTTGGTGTTTTAAATTCACCCAATTAATATGTTGTTCTATTTACTGTGTGAACATGAACACACTTCAGTACAACTTAATTCAACACTACATGTCAAAACGCTAAAATCCAACAAAATCTGCCCAGAGATGTTCTCCATAAACAACTCTGACCCAGCCACCACAGCGATGTCAGATCCAGTGAGTGTCGTGTGACACATCACATCACATAACACACATAACTAACATGTTTGCACATGGACTCATTACCATGTAGACTACTCCTTTTTTAACATTTAGAAGACAAACTATGATTTTGTGCTCACACAAATTTGCTATCTTATTTTTACATAACTAAAATGATTACACTTATTAAGGTTGGTTTT